ACTGTAGCCCACGGTAACTTAATGTCCCAAAAATGTCCTAAAAGTGTCCTACATGTCTAATTATTCACTGAATACTTCCCATTATATCACTTTAAATATCAAATATCATTGGTGCCAACTTTGTAATTGGTTATAAAAGATCTTGGTACTTGTGTACATATTGCTTTTTATTGGTTATGTATATGATTTACGGTGACTGAAGCTCTTGCATTGGATATACACAATGACACAATGTTGAATGATAGTGTCGTCCAACATCTGCAGCATGCTCTGACCGACAGGGGGCAGAGATAAAGCAAAACAAATGATGGTCTGTAATGAAAGAACATGTTAAAAAAAGATGATATTTTTATTTAAATTGAAAGTGGTGAGCTGACCAATCAAGACTGCATTCGGTGCTTTTATTGTAAATGAACCTGCAGGCCAAAGAGGAGGATTAGTCACATGGCAGGTTTTGAAATGGGCCTTAATTTCACAGGCTTTGATTCTTTGGTTTGTTTTAAATTACATATATTATATATATATATATATATATATATATATATATAATATGCATCAAACCTTAATTTTGTTTAAAGAAACATTTAATCACTGAGTGGGCTCTCTGCATTCACTAAAATGATTAAATGAGTCTCATACATAAAGTATATTTTGGTATGACACAGTTTCAATTGATCACTATTAGTAATGTTGTGATAGTGTAGAAGTAACCAACCTGTGGACAGATATTTGTGGAGTGTAACTGCAGCTTTGTGCACTATACCAACACCACTCGTTACTGCAGAGACCAAATAAATAAACAGAATTACTGTTGAAGAAACAAATACAATTTGCCAGCTGGGCAAACTGGGGCCTGGTCTGTGTGGCACGGCTTACTGAACTATTTCACTGCTTGAAATGATGTGTTTAAAGAGTAAGCTTAGTCTATGGCAGCTTTTCTTAAACGATGGGCTGGGAACCAAAATGGGTCACTGGCATGTTTCAGAGGATCCCCACATGCCAAGAATACTAATATGCTTTAATGAGTGAATGTTCCAGACTCACTCAGTATTTACTCAGTTTGGATCTTTGGCTGGAGATGTTTTAAATGCCTGCTGTAGCTATGTTGGACACAAACTAAGTTAACTTATGAAACAATTAATCTTACCAAACCATCATTGTCTGACACTAAAGAAAAGTACACGTAAAAAAAGTAATTTTTTTAAATATTGGCCCAGTTGGTGCTTTTATTTCCAAGCCCAGATTCTGCTGTTACTGCCTGTATGTTGCTTTTTTCTGTCTGTAGCTATAGTGCTCTCTGCTGGCCATGTTGCATAATGCAATACATATTACAGAGATTGTCAGATGGGTTCCCCTGTAAAACTATTTGGTAGAAAATGATCTTTATAGAAACTGAGTGATTAAATCAGTAGATGGTTACCAAGATTTCCAAGCTTAACAACGTACGTGTTCTTGCTTTAATCTTCCCTTACCATACTACTGCTCTGTATTCCAGCATCACTGTGAGTATTTGCTGTCAAAAATTAAAATCTATAGTGCATGAGCCAAGATGACTAATGCTGGACCAGAACTGAGCCTTTTTGAGGCCCCAAATATTAAAGCCATTCTAAAGACGTAAAGAGGCCTATGGCTATTAAATGCTGTTTGCCAAATGATTACATAATAGTGACAGGAGAATAGAAGAACCAGTAGTCCAATACTTTTCTTTAATCTTTTCTTTTTTTGTCTTTGTTCCTCTCACTGCTCCTCTCCGAGTCTGTCAACCTTCCTGGGTGGTTCGTAAGTGTGCTTGTGTATGCATATGTGTTTATTTAATCTGTATAGGGGAACAGAGCCTTGGACTCTGCCAATTTTTCTATACACTGAGAAAATATGCTTGTGGACAGATGGAAAAAAAGGGGAGCAGTTAAACAGACTCAGGGCCAACAGATACAAGGCCCCTCCTTCCTCAAAATCAACCACCACAACTATACCGACCCTCCAGTCTGAGAAACAAGCACCTCAAAATTGTGCTGCTGCTTTTCCATGACTGCAACATTCACATGGCATGGTGGCATAGTGACCAGGGAGACTGCAGTTTAAGAAGAACTTCTTCCCAGTGAACTATTGAATCCTTACTAGCATGAGTAAAGCGGTGTGTGACAGAGTTTGTCTGAGGGAAAGGTTCAGCAATATATGTTCCTCCAGTGCATGGATCAAATGAAAATGGATAATTCTGTGTGGCTGAGTAAGATTCCAAAATACCCAACGAATGCATGGATAAAAACCTGACAAAGCCAAAAGCTACAGCTGTTGTTGAATGATAGCTGTAGCCCAAATATGTACATTGTCTTATACAGCTGAGAAGAACAACAGAAACATTCATCCTCACCATAATGCCTGTCACTTCATATTGTGTGATAAGATAAAGACCACCAGAGAGAGACATACGCAGGGAAACACTCAAATGACTAACTTAAAACCAATAAAGATATAAGGAGAAATTACACAAAATTAAAATACCATAGAAGTTTAAAGTATCATAACATTTATACATACACATAAAATATAGTACAATAATAATAAACAATGAATCAATGAATGATTAAATGTTGTCTCTGGTTGTGATCAGGCAAAAATCACTCCTTCATAACAATACTTGAGGTAAACAATGAACGTATAATGAGCTCAAATGCCCGTATGGTATTGTTTACAACTGATGTCATCATAGAGCTGACACATGCGTACAAAACTCACGCAGACAGGATAAAGTAAACACACAGACAATAAACTTGTTTTCAAATGCGGCATATATACGAAAAAAAAAAAAAAAAAAGGCTGTTTAGCCAACTCCATCCTCTCCACTGAGGAAGTGTTGAGCCGAGAGCTGAAGCTGTGAGAATGGATGGACCAACCGACTGACTGGAGGGGAGGAAGAAACGGGGGAGGAGCTCTTGGAGTAGAGAGTATTGAAGGGGAGAGGAGGGTTTAAAAGGAGAGAGGAGAGGAGGGTGTAGGAGTTTGGGGGATGTGAGGAAAAGAAGGAGGAGGGGAATACCACCCACCAAGCCAGTTGGGAGAGGCTCTGGGGGTTGGGCTGCTCACAGGAAACAGTTGTGGCTCCATCCCAGGCCTCACACCGAGCAGCCCTGGGCCACCCAGTCATCGACAGACAGACCTACCAAATGGCCTGGCTGGGCCAAACCGACAGGGATTTGTTTATTTTTCATCCTTTGGTGGTGTGTGTGTGGGGGGGGGGGGGGGGGACTGTTCAGCACAAGCTGTTTATTAGACCTTAGATTTGTCATGTGTCAGCGTTCGCTTGCTGGGAATGTGTATACATAAGTTCAGCTTGTGTATAGTTAGGAGGTTTGGAGGCTGAGAGGGTGTGAGCACAGTGGAGTGGGGAGGCTGGGGGGGGGGGCAAAAAGAAAAGAGGAAAAATGGGAAGTGTCCCACGCTGAAGGCAAGTCTGAACTGCATTATGGGCCAGCTGTCCCTGATTGTTGATGTCATGGGGGACTGAATTGTTGTGCCTGGTTTGCAGTGGGTGTTGGAAGAGGGGGACTGCATGTGGACAAACACAGGATTCCTGTCGTCACATGGATGAAATGCAATCCATCAGCAGTTCGCAGAATTTGGGCGTAACTGTGGCCTGATCACTTGATGCATGTGTCAGTATCATCAAGTCATGGATTCACAGCAGTACTGAATGTAACATTGCCACTGATTTGCAACATTGCCTTCGGTGACCCACAATCACGGATATTAAAAAAAGGGATGGATAGAGTCCCTTTGGTTTGCACCACACAGCAAAATCTCTGACATTTCACACATTTCTATTGTCTATTGACGTAGATCACCCAACCCCAGATATTAGTCAGCAGTACGTTTTTTATGTGTTGTGAAAATGTATCTAAGCTAATACATTGTGTGTGCTTCCTTCTTCTGCAAATGCCAACTGCTCAATATTTTTGAAACAGCCCCTTAAACAGAGCAGCAGCAAGAGCACACAATATGAGAAATGATGTTCGCTAATGATGTAATGAATGAGAAAAAGTCCTAGTGATGCAAGACAAACTCAATACTATCAATGTTTGACTTGACAACGTTTCAGGACACTGGTCTTCACAAGTTTGGCTGAGGCTCGATGTTGTTTACAGGAGGGAAGGGGACACGTTCAGCCTTAAGTGACCACAACACCGTCATGAACAGGGACATTATTAGGTAAATGTGCTATACTGGGGAAATTGTCACTACCCATCCATTTGAATGGTTTGTAATGTTGTTCTAACATTGCTAATTGTGGTGTTTTTGTTGCATATATTGGCCTAATCTGAAAACTGACATATTTTATAAATCACAATTTAGGACAGAGGTATTCAGCCAACAGCCATTATTTTCTGAAAATGATTTTCTACCAAGCATATTTAAATTAGCTTAAGCTCTACTTGCATGTAAAGAATACATATATTCTGTCCTTGGTATCCCGTTACTGTTACTCCTGGATCTCAATGAGAAGATTGTAGTGGCAATCAAATACCACAGCTGTAAGACACAGTTTAATGTTGTTAGAAATCAAGTCACTCCATATGGTGGCTTGTAGGCTATAAATTATTCTGAGCTGATCATGTGTTTTTGCATGTACATAACCTCTGTCTGCAAAGTTGTGACAAATACGTCAATGTAGTGTAGTAAAATAAAAAATGTGTTTCTTTCTGAAGTGTACCCTTGTGGTGCAAAAGCATAATATCCCAAAATGTATAATAGCTTTCTCAAAATAATTTCAGATGGACCTGATGGACTAGTTATATCAATGTGAATGCTTTGTTTGCAAATTGTAATAAAGGTTACAATCACAAACTCTACGGTTAAATGCATCTTCAATGTCCAATATATTTGAGTTGCAGAAGTCAGCCAGGTAGTGGCAGTATAACATCAATATGGACATCAAATGTTGAAAAAGCCCGAGAAGAAGAAGGCCGTCCAGGATAAAGATGACGACATGTACGGGACCAATCAGATCATTCAGTACCCGGAAGTGATACCATTTTCAAACTTTGGCGGCTGTGAGTAGCGATCGTAGGTGAGTGTGGTTTTCTTCATGAAAATGAAATAAACGAACAAATAAAAAAGAATAAGTTATAACGGTTCGATTATTTATTAGTACGTTTATGGACGAAAATAGGATATAGTTTTATAGCGACCGAAACAGACTTGCTAGATAGCGCGAGGTAACGTAGCTCGTTACCTCAGACGTTACCTGACTTTTGATTTCTGCGTTGCAGCCCAGTTAAGCATCTACAATGGAGAGCAGTCTATCCAGACTACTCGTTGAGCTGTCTGTCAAAATCAGCCGCAGCGACGGTGAGTTTTCTTTCACGACTTTACTCCGCATTATCCCGCTGCGTGTCGTTTTAACAGAGCTTGACGATGACTTTTTTTATGTGATGCGTGAAACCAGGTCGAGTCCACCTAGCCACGGTCAAGTCGGTGAATACTGTCAAGTCCGTGGTTATGGTCGAGTGGTACGAAAGAAACATCTGCAGAGGAAAGGAGGTCAGTAACGTTAAGTCCATGAACACAGTAAAAGACATTTGTTCCATTAGTGATGATGTGAAGGGACACTGGAAGTCGATCACTTTGGGGCGTATATTAATTAACATAACATAAAAACATTATTCATGGTTTTTACATGACTTTCAACAGCCGGGATACGTTATATCTTAACAGTTGTTAACACTTGTAGGACGTTTTACACAACAGTCAGCAAACCTGACCTCCAGTATGTGAAGCAGCAGCTACACTGAAGTCAATCCTCATACAGTAGTTTATAATGCTGAGCAGTGAGGATGCAGATGTTTTTATTCAGGAGACAAGTCATGTGAAACAGCTGTTTCTGTAGCACGTTGACATTTAATCCCAGTTAAGATGTGTTTATGATTTTAGGTCGAAGTCAGTGACCTGTGCACACTGAATCCGGAGCTTCTTGACCATGTAAAGGCTGCCGTCCACCACGTCACAGACCCAGCTCCTCCTGCTCCAGACAAGGTAAGCGTGGCCTTATACTTTTCCAAAGTTAAAGTTAGTCCAGTTGAATTTTCTCATTTCTTTAAATTGGGAACCATGGATTCAACACTAGTCGTGGATGAAAAGGAGTCGTTATTGTAAATAAATAACTGATGCAATTCTCTCTCGCTCGCGCTCTCTCTCTCCCGTAGAAGTATGAGGGTCGACTGCGCTCATCCAGGATTCCTGCCCCTTCCTCCTGTATGTAAACATATTGTACTATTTTGTTTTTTTTAGCTTGCCATGATCTATAGTTTGGCTTCTAACCGCTTGTTTCCTTCCAAAAGCTTTTGTTCACGCAGTCCCTCAAGCTCAGGATGAAGGTCGGCATGGCATAAACGCTCCTTTCACTTAAGAAAATGGGTCCTATTTTCTAATCACTCCTTTCCAAATGACATTTAGGGTGTAATTCCACAATCCTTGCAGAGCTGAACTCTGCTCTGGTCTAGCCAATTATAATCCATAAAGAATAATCAACTTTATTTGATGATTAGCGGCAGAATGATGCAAACAAACAACTTTGGGTATTTGGTGATTCTGGGCATGCAGCACTCTCAATTTGTTGATTTGAAAATAACACTATTCATCTTCAGTCAGCAATATTTTCATATGGAATCATTTAGTTCATGCTTTTCTGCACCTGTGTTAATCTCTCACGGCTCACTTCTCTCACTCTGGGTTTGTCTACGATCTCGTTTCTCTTAAAACTGGCAAATTTGTTCTGTGGTCACCTTTTTGATTTGGCAGACTCGACCGATGTACAGTTAATCCCTCCGTTGTACCACGGTTTGGGTCTACATTTAACCCCAGACAACTCGTTAACAATGCCACACTCGCACTGCAGCTGTTTGACTTGAGTTTGTCTTGCTTTCAGTTGCCAGTCGGACTCAGAACAGGCAGACCTGTCTCTTCCAGGTCCCAGCTCCTGTTCTGGCACCGGTCCCGACCCCTGAGTCTTCTCAGGCGAACGTGGAGACGGTCGCCTCTGATCTCCCCTCTTCATCTGTCCTCACGAACTCCGGTTGGTAGTGATCTTCTGAAGGGAAATTCACAAACATGAACATTGTCCAAAAAAATGCACACGCCGAACTGATGCTAATAGTGCTTTCTTTGCTCATTCATTTTCAAAATACGTCATGTTGTTAAACCCAAGTGCACTCTTTTGCCTTATCTAGCGCTTCCGAATCAGCAGCGTAAGAAGGAGGCCAAACTACCACAGCCGCTACCTTTTCCCTGTAAGGCGATAAAGGAGAGCGAAGAACCAGAGCGAATGCCTCCGTCTGCAGCCAAAGGTCAGCAGCACATTTCACATCATAGCGATATCGGGTAGCCACCCGATCACTTGCATCTATAGACGTATCCCATACATGGAGAGAGAAATCTCTACACATTAATGTCACAAGTGCATCCTCCCGTATCTCCTGTGAAGGACTCCGATTTGTTTTGTTTGAGACAAAAAAAGATGTGGTGATTAGGCAGACAGACTGTGTCTACTCCATGTTCTATGACAGCAGGTGGTCTGAGGCACAGACTCATTCTGTGATTTTAGGTTTGTTGCATGATGACAATGAGATGTGAGGTCATTAGGTTGTTATGATCTCTATGCACTTCAGGCAGAAGAAAATCTGTGGCTGCCCAAGAGCTACACAAAGGCAGCAAAAGATTGTCTTGTGTTGTAAAGCCCTCCGACACGCAGGTCAAGAGGGGAAAGGTGAGCTTTTTTTATTCTGCTATTAATACTTTTTTTCTAATTGGGGGAAAGTCTGACTTGGTATGAACTTTTGTTTGACACCAGAAGTACCTTCTCACCTGTCATTCACAATTAACCCTTTGTTCTCCTTTTTAGTTCGGAGAGGCTTCTCGCCCAAACCAGAAGTTCTATGAAATGATCCAAGACTTCAGAGAGACCTTGGAGATAACCCCCATGGCAACAACCGACCATGTAAGTTTGGACTCGATGACATGGTGCCTTATGAAGCTGTATGCTTGATTATGTCCTTACTTACAGCTCATGTTGTGTTTTTACAGATTGAGCCTCACAAGATTTCTGTGTGCGTTCGCAAGCGGCCCTTTAACAAACAAGGTATATTAAGAGGGATTTCTAACATCGTTGTGAATATAAAGAGTAATTAATGACACCGTGCACTTTTTATTTTTTATTTTAAATGCTGACTTTGACATTCTTGTGTGTTCCAGAGATGACTAAAAAGGAGATAGATGTGGTGTCTGTACCTGGAAATGGTGCTCTGCTGGTCCATGAGCCAAAGCAGAAGGTGGACCTCACCAAGTACTTGGACAACCAAGTCTTCCACTTTGACTTCTCCTTCAATGAGACCGCCACCAACGACCTGGTCTACAAGTAATGACCTCATGTGACCGTTTTATTGTTTACATTCTGTCACTGGGCAGTTTTTCAACCAGAAGCTGCAAATAACTTGATGTGTAGATGGTAGTGTTTACAGCTATAGCATCACTTCAGTAAAGTAAAAATGTTGTCATTTTCAAACATGACATTATCGTCTTACAAAGAGTACATTCATGCTGTTTCATCCTTTAGGTTCACAGCCAAACCTTTGGTGCAGTCCACTTTTGAAGGCGGCATTTCAACATGTTTCGCCTATGGCCAGACTGGGAGTGGGAAGACTCATGTAAGCCTCTGCTTTCTGTATGATGTGGACTTTTTCTTGAAGCAGTATTTTCCATTTTGTAGAATTTTACTTGATGTTTCTTTGGCACGTTTTCCCCCTAGACGATGGGAGGTGATTTCACAGGGAAGCAGCAGAACACCGCTAAAGGAATCTACGCCTTGGCAGGTAGGACCGCAACCATCCACCCAGTGGCTCTACATGCACATCACCTTACACCTTTTTTCATAATATGATAATAACCAGGACATTTGTTTTTGTCTGTATAGTTTATATTTATTCCAATTAACTCCGGATATGACTGAGCCCTATTGCGTCTCCATTGCTTCTTTCTTTAAACTACAGTACATTCAGGATTGTCCCAACTGGCCACTTCCATTGGAACTTCACTTTGAATAATTTGAGTGTTTCTCTTCTAGCCCAGGATGTTTTCACCTATCTGAACCACAGGAAGTATGCACACCTGGATCTCTCTGCTCATGTCAGCTTCTTTGAGATTTACAATGGAAAAGTAAGAAAGAAAGAAAAGAAAAAAAAAACCTCCTACACTGATTAACACGTTTGTGATATCTGAAATACAAATCTGCATATTCAAGTTATCCTGAAAGTGAGATATACTTTCTTTTTAAATTTAGGTATATGACCTGCTGAATAACAAGGCCAAGCTCCGTGTTCTGGAGGATGAGCGACAGCAGGTTCAGGTTGTGGGCCTGGAGGAGATCTATGTGTCCAAAGCAGAGGAGGTCATCAAGTTGATCCAGCTGGGCAGTGCATGCAGGTACCCATGTAATAATAGTTAACGCACATTTGTGGCATTCTTCAGCTCAAAAGAAAAATGATATCCCATTAACATGGCTGCTTTCCCTTTCCTTCTGTCCTACCGTCTCTCCAGAACATCAGGCCAGACCTCTGCCAACGCCAACTCCTCTCGCTCTCACGCCATCCTACAGATTGTCCTGCGGCGCAACGGCCGCGCCGCCACGCTGCACGGCAAATTTTCCCTGGTCGATTTGGCCGGCAACGAGCGCGGCACTGACGTCCGCAGCAATGACCGCAACACGTTAGTGGAGACCGCCGAGATCAACCGCAGCCTGCTGGCTCTCAAGGTAGACTAAGGAAGTTGTGGAGGCGTGCACACGCACCAGATAAATAGGTGACTGTGACTAAAATGTGAGAAGAGCCCATTTTCTCGCATGTAAAGTAACCTGGCACTCGCAAATCGAGTAAAGAAAAATAAAATGGTGCAAATGCTTGACATTCTCAGAACTAACAAGGTATTGAAAATCCCACCTAACACGCCCATGTGTCCACTCTTGTGTCCTGTAGGAGTGTATCCGTTCACTGAGTATGAACAGCGATCACATTCCTTTCAGACTCTGCACTCTGACCAAAGTCCTCAGGGACTCCTTCATTGGAGAGAAGTCCAGGACCTGCATGGTGCGTAAAAACTCCAAACTTGGCTTACACTCAGCATATGGTGTATTGTGGACGGAGCAGATGCATATCAAACAAGCATGGTGTGAATTTATACGTGTGTGTGTGTGTGTGTGTTTATGTACATGTTATATCTGCTCTTATTCCATAGATTGCTATGGTGTCTCCAGGCATGGCGTCGTGTGAATACACAATGAACACACTAAGATATGCTGACAGGTACATATTTGGCTTATGTATAGTATCATTCCAAGTAGTTTTTACTACTAACATTGTCAAGCCTACTAAGATACAACTTGAAACTTTTTTTCCTGTCCAGGGTGAAGGAGCTGAAGGGAAACACCAAGGCTAGTGGAGCGAAGGCACAGGAGCCTCTGGATAGCTCCACAGAGGAGGTTCGCTTGCACAAGATCAGTCCAAAATCATAATTAATGTGGATTTTATCGTATGCATTATCTGCTAAAATGTTGCTTGTAAATGTGTTGTAGGAATCTGTTGAGGATGCCAGTGTATATGATGCCATGTCCCACGTCGCAGAGCAGGAGGAGAAGATTTATGCCCACTTACTGGTAAAGTTTGAATAACTCGGCTCTTCATTACAACGTACAAGACACGTGATAATGCCTGTTTTTATTGGCTCTGTAAATCCTTACACTTGTGTCCCTCTTGTTTCTCAGAAAGCCGGTGAAATCGTCAAAACAATGGGGCAAACCTCTTACGACACCGAGGCCGGACTTCCTGACCTGCTGGATTATTCCACTACCTTACAGGGTTTGTACAAAACACAACTTGATCTTGGTTTTTTTTTTTTTTTTGTCCATGAATCTAATTTAACCTTCTTGGATTGCTGTTAGTTGAAAACCCTGAAATTTCACCAAAAATATGCTGACTATAACCGAACACCTTGTTATTGGACAAGCATGAGGATATGTAGTAGTGTGGGACATCTTCAAATAGTTCATATGTTCATACTGCATGCTGACCAGGGGGAACCACAGAAGTAACCAAAACTGCATAACGTGAAAGACCGAAATCTGGGCTGATAAATGTGCTTTACCTTTTATTTGTTCCGTCTTATCTTGTCGTCCACAGACATGGTAAAGGCTTTGCAGGTTGCGGTAGACCAGGAGAAGATGTCCCGGCAACATTACTGAGATCTACTGACATGTGACTTGTGTCTACCTGACACAAAGTCTTTGTTTTAAAAGCAGCTTTTTTTTTTTTTTTTTTTTTTTTTTTTTTTTAAAGTGTCTTTTCTCAATAAAAAAATGTATTCCTAACACTACATCATGTTTGAAGTGTTGTGAACACTCGTGTGTTTTGTCGCGTGCTGCAGATACCGGGTTATCTAAACAATGACCAGAGCTTGATGCTAATGTGGAAGCAGCAGATATTCAGTTAGATTTATTTATTTTTATTTTGATAACTATTGGTGAAATATAATTATGTACATTTACTCAAGTACTGTACTTCAGCACAATTTTGAGATACTTTATTTATTATTTATTTCCTTTTTGCAGCTAGTTTATACTTCTACCTCACTATATTATACTTTTTACTTCACTACATTTGTGTTCATTTTACTTACTAATTACTTTGCATCTTCAGATTGATGATACAATCAAGAAATAAATTATGATGTAATGATTTAGATTGTGATTATGCATTATTAATTATAATCTAATAATATATCAACTCTGCCTAATGAATACTTTTAATTTTTGCTACTTTTAGTTAAGATCTAATTCTAAATGACTCCTATCGGTGGCATTTAGATATTTAAATCCAGAGTTTGGTCTGACAATATGCACATGCAAATTCAGATACATTATATTATTGTGGATAAATTTAAATTAAAATTGTTCATAAATCCATGGATTGGCACTTATAAGCCACAACTGAAAATACAAGATGTTCCCATGCCTGCACTAGAGGTGGTAGTAGGCTGTCAACTGACTGTTCAGTTAACCAACAGATTTACTAAATAGTTTCAAAACTCATCCAAGTTGATATAAGCTTTCGGGTTCAAGTTTCAGATACACGATACATTTGCAACCACATTTGTTATATGAAGTAAGCTGTGATGTTGCTGCACAATGGGCGATTGCGTCTCACAAAGGATAACTTGTGTGTGATTGAGATAAAAAATAAAATAGTATTTGGAATTTTAATGATATTTCATAGGTTTGGGAAATGATACTTAGGAAAGCATTGTTACGCACATATTTAAACGCTTTTCAAGACGAAATATCTTTGACCACTAGTAGGCAGTACTGCACATTCAATTAGGGTTTTGGGGGTGATTATGAATGAGTCTTACTATTTGATAGGGATTTATAATAACTCTAGCTCTAGTTTGTTGAAGAGAAAACAACTTCATGGTAATCTAAGCTCTGTTTATGTTTCATTTAACTGACTTTGGTTTTTCACTTCCAACCCACACATTTATACAAAGCGAGCTACAATAATATCCAGTATACACTTTAGGGCAGTTGAACAGCCAGAGCAGTAGGGGGCGCTAAAGGTAGGTCTCGGTTAGATTATAGCAAGAGGAAGAGGAGGGACCGACCAGTAACTAAACAGATTAAGTTGCCCCTCCATCTGACAAGTGAGGGAACAGACCCAGGAACGGAAGGCGATGAAGTGGTTACGTTTTTCGCTCCTCGTTTTGGGGGCTTTCTCGCTGTGCTGCGCCACGTCTGGTGACAGCAGCAGCGGCGTGAAGAAGATGAAGATGCAATTTGCTACGGGACCTCTTCTCAAGTTTCAAATTTGGTAAGCAAATATGAGCGAAATTCTGGCGAGTCATCGCAAGCTAACTAAGCTAAGCTCCCCGGCTAACAACACCGTAGGCCGAAAGCTAGCTAACCAACCGGAGGGTAACAGTAGTTCACTGTGGCATGTTATAGGAGCCTTCACGTTCCGCCAGTTAGCTGCGAAATTACGGGTAGAATAAACGATAAATAAAATGTAAAATATATGTATTTTTTGTGACACTTCATGAACATTTCGTCGACAGCATGGCCCCGCTTCCGCTGTCAAATAGGCGAGTTAACGTTAGTGTATTTTGTAACGTTATTATATCAAATTCCGGTAGAGTGTAAAGTCTGTCGGAAACTGCCTGACCGTGCTGAAAAGTTACGTTACCTTAAAGCTAACTAACACATCAAACATTAACAATAAAAGGTGTTCATCGTTAACGTCTACCGTTATGCAAATAACGATGTCACGTGGTTTTAAGATGTTGTGCAAACGTAGTGTGACTAAAGTAACGTTAAACATGAACAACGGTTACGTTGAACGGTTGCTTTTTTCTAAAGCTAACATAAACTACAAACTGACATGTAACGTTAGCATTGGAGTAAAGGTATAAAGTGGGCTTTCATGCATGCTGCTAACTGGAATTTCACACTTACGGTACATTTAACACTTTCCTCCAACGTTAACAGTCTAACAGAGGAATTCACGTGTGCCTGACCTCGAGGCTAAATTCATAATCTACCCTTGAATCATTGTATTGTTGTGGCTTCGGTTTGCCCCTGTTTGATGTTGCAACTGCACACCGTGTATGTTTTTCTGACGTGTGTGTGTGTTTTGTCTTCTCGCAGCATTTCCTGAGGGTACAAGCGGGTGTTTGAGGAGTACACGCAGGCCTTGTACCAGCGGTACCCAGACATCCGTATCGAGGGGGAGAACTATCTTCCTGTACCCCTCTACCGGTGAGAGAGACCGTCTGCCTCGTTACCACTAGATTATGTCCAGCTCCATTAAAGCAGCTGGGGATTAGCTGAGACTAGCTGTGATGGAAGGTTCATCTGACCGTGGAGTGGTCTTTGGTAGTTTTACAGATGTAGACCGAGCTACTGGCACTTTAAAATTAATAAATATAGGTCATAGGTGCATAGTGTTATTTAGTGTGGATTGTTATTATAATTGGTCACGAATCAATGCTATTTTTTTGGACCAATTTACAGTGTCATTATTTTTATTGTAGTGAGCATACTGTAGGCCTATAAACTATATAGGCCTGTGCTGTCTTAAGTGCTGCACAATGTTTTTCACACTTGGAAGTGTCAATATGACTAACATACAGCTCAACAGTGTAAACTGCATCCTCCAAAATAACTACACAGTGGTATCAGCACCTCTCCTAAACTGTTTTGGACTGATTTATTGCCGGACTATTGTATTAGACTGCATTTAGTTTTAGCTGGGTGTACCTAATAAACTGGAAATGGAGTGTATATTAACAACGTCATTATTTTGTGGACTACATAAAAGCTTTGTCACCAATGTTTTGAATTCTAGGAAACTGTTGCATGATCCCACCACTGTATCACTTCACAATTATCTGACATTCTATAGACCAATGATTATATGAGGAGAAAGTCAGCAAATTAGCTGGTCATGATTATCATCATTAGTGGCAGCCCCAGGACTTATGTTCCTGTTTTAATTTGTTTCTATGTATTCCTCCCCTCATTTTACAATTATCCAGGAACTAATTGTGTTTCAGATACAGACTAGAATTTAGATTCATTCATTTGTGTAGTGAAGCATCAATAGCCTGGTATTTAGACCAGTGGCCGAGTCCCTATGCCAGACCGGTTTGTGCACTTGTCCCAGGTGTTGTAGTTAAAGGCACGGCGTCACTGAGACCCCTCGGGTCCTCATCAGTTGAACTCTTAATGAGTACACCAGAGATGAGCTCCATTTAAAGAAAGGACACGGTATCACACCGTGGGTTTCAAATTCTCCAGACTGCTTCAGTCACTGGAAGAATAGGTGTGCGTCCACTGACGGGTTGTAGTTCAACCAGTTGCACATATTTTAAGTTTAACGGCAGTAAACAGCAGGCAGGGTCTATGTTGCTGGTTGATAGGTGCGACATTTCCCTTGAAGGATCTTAATCACTGTTGAAATGGATAATAATTATTTATATGGGAGGAAGCCGGTGCTACACGGTTGACTCATTTCCTTGTTTATTCTACACAATGGAGCTTAATTTGTATAAATCGAGGCCATGCCCGTCTCCCTTGGCACAGTGTTCAACTAATATGCACACATGTCTCAGAATGATTAAGTGTCAAAATATATCTGTGTCCATTTGAATATTTTTTTGGACGATGTTAGATTTACCTTTTTATATTTTGAACCTCAAGTATACACTCCTCCTTTTTAATAACTGAGCGGTACATGTTTATTAAACATGACCAACCTGCTTTAAGACAAACTACAGGCTCACATCTATCCGGATAATTGTGATGTATCTAGAATCCTTTTACGTTGTCAAAAAATTGCATTAAAGAGAGTTTCTTGTTTTATTTCCTCAGACATTTTGCTTCCTTCCTGTCTGTGTTCAAACTGCTGGTGATCGGGCTGATTATTATCGGCAGGGACCCATTCGCCCTCATTGGTATGCAAGCCCCAGGCCTCTGGGAGTGGGGCCAGGGAAATAAGGTACGGTTCACTATAAGAGTCATTAAAGATCAGATCGTATGGGAGAGCATTTGTTTTTGACAGGTTAACGCCACAGATGTCACACGGAATCTATATAAGAAATGGAGAAAAAAAAATTGGGTTTCGTTTGACTGTGTTTTAATATAGTTGTGTACATTCACACTGCCAAGTACAACTCAACCCCCATGGGATTAACCTATCCAGGGTCTTCAGGCTGAGTTGTGGAGTGTTGTTTTGCTCTGTTATCCCCGGGGTCACAGACGGGCCAGAGGCTCAGAGGAAGACTGACTAACACCAGATATAACAATCTCGCACTTCTTGCATTTTTGAATGAGTCATTTCATTACTTTATTAAGATGTAATTAATATATAAATGTCAATTTGATGGTAAACTGCATTAGACATACGGAAGAAGATCTCCTTATAGTGATCAATTTGACCCAGAAGGACTGTAGGCATCAGAGGGGCTCCACTAAACTCTGTGCTGACATGTGCCTTGCTTTTAAAAAAAACTATTGAGTTTGCAATACGAACAAACTGTTTGTTGCAGCTAATCCTGACATCAAACATTTTGTAAATTACTCTTGAATTTAAGTACCAGAGTCCTAAAGCAGCTTCATATTTACTTGTCAATAGAGCGCAATGCTCAAGTGGGCATTTTGTCCTTTTACTGTTACAATACCTGAACAGTCTTTGTAGTGAGCCCAATGTAAGACAAATTTAACTGCAGAGCTTTTTAACTCAACTTTTCTTCTTCTTCTTCAGATATATGCCTGTATGATGGTGTTCTTCCTCAGCAATATGATTGAAAACCAGTTAATGTCTACAGGAGCTTTTGAGATCACATTAAATGGTGAGTTTATGATTCACAGCACGGGCTTATTGACTGAACCCAATGCTCCTGGCTTCAGATGGATCCTTTAACATTACGGTGCATTACAGTGAAGTGTTGTTTTTCCACAGACGTGCCAGTGTGGTCAAAAATAGAGTCGGGTCACCTGCCCTCCATGCAGCAGCTCGTGCAAATCCTGGACAACGAGATGAAGATGAACGTTCACATGAACACAGGAACACACCTCCACTCCTAACCCTACTCGTCATGTCCTGGCTGGAGCTAAAAGCCCCTCCATGTAAGTACAGTAGTGCTCATATAAGCAGTTCTTCTGCTAATCTTCTACACTGATCCTTTGCTCTCCTTGTGAGACACATCGGCCATCGGGAATGTTTTTTTTGATCTGCGTTCCCTCTCTTCCTGTCCAGGTTTGAGGTGGGTTTCTCACTGGGCTGTGAAGTGATGTTTATGAAGGTCTGCGCTGAAGGCAGGAAGACTGCTAGCACAGACTGGATGCCCCCCATCAGTCTTCACCACGCCCCTTGGAGATGCCTTGCCCCCGACGCCAGAGTGGGATCCATGGCAACAGTGCCGGCCATTCTTTTGTCATTTTCTTGTACTATTCAAACTACTGCAGATTTCATCCAGGTCATCAATGGTCCCATCAAGACAGATTTCAAATTGATACTCATAGTCTTTAACTTTAATTGATCTATGTGAATTAATAAAATGTGTAGCTTGTACCACTGAGCCACATGCAGAATTGTATGTTAATTGTTCTAAACATAGCCATGTAGAAGAAACACTTCCAATCTGTCATCCCTGTTGTGGAAATAACATTGGTGATTGTGTCTTGATATGATTTCTGAATAATTGTTTTTATATTTGCATAACTTGAAGGAAGCTGAGAAGATAAATAAAACAAATTTTAACTATTTAACCGTGAGGCTGTGGTGCAATCTGGTGTTACAAATGAAACTCTTTTACTTCCAAGAGAAGAGATGCTGGATGATGTGACTGCCGTCACGGTTTTGAGTAGGGAATGTGAATGGCTTTATTTCTTCGTGAAGCAGATGGCCTACTTGAGTCAGTGCACATCTTTTAGCCATCTGCTCAACCTAATGTTATTAGGAAGACTAGAGGAGCTACACTGATTTAATTAGAAGACACAAAACGGATTAAGTGAGAGTATAATGTACGACTAAAACATAGTGACGTCCCAGGGCCATGCACACTTGTTGAATTTGAGATGTTCCTGATAAGGTTGCATCCTTTCATTATGAGTTTCAGAAGTAACTGAAGAAAAATGAGGGGGTAAATTACAACTTTATTTCAATACACTGTTTAATTGTTAGCAACATAATCCAGTTTGCACAAAAGAATTAAAGATCATCTTTGAGCCCATTCCTTGTAAATAACCCAGATTCACTATTGAGATATTTGTTGAAAAAATAGAAACTTATTTGTAGTTGTGTACTTTATTAGTGGTACAGCAAAGGCACCTATGGATAAAGGTTCTTTCACTCACACATCAGCACTGACTTCCAGAAGCCTTTGGGCGACTGCATGGAGGTGAGGAGCTTGTTTGGTCTTCTGCAGCCGGGGTCGTGATGGCGTCATCAGGTACTGGTGGAGGTGCTGAATGACCAGGTGGATCCTAATCCTGGCTGCCTGCACAAACAGGTCCTCCTTTAACTCCGCTGCTCCTGATGTCGCCCCGACTGTTTTAGATTCATCCTGGAGGGGGAAAAAAAAAAAAAGTTTTCACACATTACTGACGCAGAACTGGAAATGTCCACTGCAACATGTAGACAGAAAACAATGCTTCACCTGAGCGCCGCAGGTGCCCACACTGAACTTTGCCTGTTGACCTCTTGCTAGAAAGGAGACAAACACGCGTTCCTTCCCGAAGACTCGAACCCCAACAGTTTTGTTGAGGGACAGGAAGACGGGGTACAGGGGAGTGGGAGGGACGCCCCGGCTGCTCCAGCTCCACCGCCGAACCCTGGCACCCACCTCGTCCAAACACTGACCGCCTGAACTGTTTAAGCTCAGCCTGCAACGTAAACACACACGTGCAATCATCAGTTATTTTTAAACCATACATTAGATGCACCCATCAGTATAGAAACAATTTGCCGAATTTATAGTTACCTAAAGATTAAATAATGAATATTTTATTATCAATATAATACAAATTCTAAACATTTTAATGAAAGAAATGATATATATAAACACTTTTCTTTGTACCATATGTTTCTATTGCTGTGATAACATGTCGCCCTGCCATCAGACTGGAACAGGGCTCTGATTGGTTGATAGGAGCTGTCATCATACACTATGCAGACTCTTCCATTTTCCTCTGTGACCACGACCACGAGAGCCAAGAGACCTGAGGGATAGCTGTTACCATGAAGATAAGGATGGGAACACACATTGTAGAGTACAGGTTGCATTGCTCATACAGGCTAACACTCTCCTGGTCACTGAAAAGATAACGTAAAAAAAATCTACAAACATTCCATTGTGCGTGGATACAAGACCTGAGCAGAGCCATCGGGGAACACAGTAAGAAATTTCATGCCATTGGAATAATACTTCTGTAGAATTTGTGCCCCATCCTGTGAACATGTAAGATTAAAGAAAGTCAGAAAATGTTAATGTTAATCACAAATTCATAACAGAAAGCCTCCATTACAAAATGTGGACGTTTAGTGTGCGCAGTGAGACGAATGAAAGAAGCTACTGCACATAGGGAATGTAGGATGCCTGACCTATACTAGGGTCTAAAAATCAGGAGGATATCTTCTTAAAATCTGTCTCTCATCTACCTTTTGGAGGCACAATACTAAATTACTGGAGTAATGCTCTGACCATAAATGTTTATAATCCTAAATATTTAGCCTTTTTACAAGAAGAAAACATTTGTTACAAACAGGTTTTATTTATTGATGAGTTTGACCACCTGTGCGCAGTGTATTTGTGTGCATAGATTAATATATATCTGTAGACTTCTAGTCAAAGAAATTATGATTATTTGTTAATATTTCAAATAAAGGGCAAGTGAGTAGGATTTAGAGGGATCTATTGGCAGAAATGGAATATAACATTGTGTTTTCATTAATGCATAAATCACCTGAAACTAAGAAACCTTCCAATACCTTAGAATAATACCTTCATAACTACATAGGGAGAGGGTCCTCTTTATGGAGTCCGCCATGTTTGCGCTGCCATGTTTCTACAGTAGCCCAGAACAGACAAATCAAACAAACTGCGGTAATGTGAACCGCCGACTGCAAAACCGTGGTAACACCGGCAGTCGTCTGAATTTCGTTGCTCCTAAAACAATGTCTGTTGAAGTTCCTGAAAAATGCCGCAGCATTACCACGGCTTTGCACTCAGCAGCTCACGTCTTCAGTTTTCTGTCTTCGGTATTCAGTTAGTTGCAATCTGCAACCACATTGCTAGATGCTGCTAAATCCGATACACACTGGCCCTTGGACTGACTTTAATAAAAGAAGACATGACAGTGATTTGTGGGTACCTGATGACGACATATGCCGAACAGAAGTGGCTTGTGTTCACAAAAAGGGACCAACACCTCCTCTTCCTCTTTTGTTTTCAAGTGCTTCTCAGTTGCGCTACAAGGACACACTGTCCAGCATCCTTTTAATGGAGGACAAGACAGCCGAAAGCTGAGGACCTTTGATTTTGGGACAGCTAAACAATAGCACAACAAAAACTGTATCAGACCCACAGAGCTATTTCAAGATTCGTGTTTGTTTATCATGACTGAATAGATTCAAAGCTGTCAATGTGTAGGTTGCTCACTGAGCCGTTACTCACAGGGTTGTGCAACAGGGAGTTGGATTGAGTAATCCTCAGAGAGTCTCAGTTGTGATTGTTCTCTAATAAAGAATACAGATTACGTTGCTCTTGACTTGCAGTTTTATTCATCAAGATTATCATTTTACTGTATTTTTGTTTCTGTGTGTTGGACAAAAGACATTTTAAGATGAAAAGTTGTACCCAAGTCCCCCCGGTAACTCCATGATAAACCTGTTGTGGTCTGCCATCTCCTTGCCTTTGAAGAGAAGCTCGTCGATGTCTGTGGCTGGCTTGTCTCTCGGTGATGTTGGCGTACCAGTCCTCAGGTCACATCTCCCCTCAACCACACATCTCTGCTTCACCAGCATCTTACACAGCTGCTGCCGCTGGGCACAGCAGAAGAGAGGCACTGTCTAAGATGAACATGCAAGGTGGTCAGCAGTGCGTCATGTGTGTTTGGGTAATTTGTTTTAGTATAGGCACTTTCTTCCTCACCTCTGGCCCTTGTGCCCATGTTAGATCCAGGGAAGGTCGGGCCTTTTCTCCACAGTACTCACATTTCACTGGGTATTCCGTCAGGGCCTGGGACTGGACCACATAGAATTAAAGAGTCACGAATCAGTAACATAAAGGCCTGCCGAAATAGTTTGGAATTTAAAACAGTCAGTGGAAAGTTGATCTTTGTACCGCTGGAAGAATGGGTGTTAAGTTTATCCTGTTGTTGTCAGACTCCCGATTATAGCTCAGAACTCCTGCTGCTCTGATGCAATAGGTGGGGGGGTCACTGACACACTGTGGACCGCCCTCTGGTATCCTCTTACCAAACCCAGAGAAAAACACAAATCAAATGAATGAATTAATCACTGTAGACTGTAGTACATGATATATGTATTGACACAAAGAAGACCTGAGCTGAAAAGGAAAATAGATTTGTGTTTTGTCCACCACTTGACCCGTCTTACGTGGTCCAGGACGGATGGTGGCTCCCTGAGATCCTGTTTTAACGTAGCAGCAGCAGCATCTAATGGTGAAACAAAAGGTATTTTTGCATCGTTAGATCATCCTACTGAGAGAACGAAACACTGGCCTGAATAGGATCGGAACGTAGAGATTTTCCTTTGCAGTTATTTTCTAAAGTTTCCATTTAAATTGTGCTTGAAGCAGATTCACCTAAAGAGCTGGACCTCATCTCTTGGTCCGACTGGGGTGAAGTCGTTGCGTTCAGCGTCTCAGAAAGCTAATGTCAGCATTCACTGCTTGTGTTAAGGTTTCTCTCCTGCTGAGATATAAGATGAACATATACAGTAATTAGATGAGGAAGCAATCACATGTCAAATATCTCAAAGACTCTAAACCAGCGGTTTACATTCCTCCAAATGCAAATTCAAAAAAATATATCTATTTGAGAGTTCCAAAATATTGGCTTTAGATCTCAATTTGAGTGTCATATATTACATTAAAAATAGCACACCTACAAAAAGCAATATAATAAGTACACACAAGGTTATGCACTCACCTCAATCTTTTACACTTGCTGGTGTTGTCAGTAACCTTGGAGATGAAATAGCAATGTGTAAACGTATTAGCATTCACGGAGGTTGGTGACTGTTGAGCCAACATCTTCATAGAGACCAAACTCCATTGTTCATCCCGGTTCAATGTGTTTACACCGTGATGCTTACTGCTCAAACACAGTCTAAGTGGATGGACAATGTTTTTCTCATGTTGAATTTTTAATGGGAAGATGTCGGCCATATTATCTGCCAAGATAAAAAAAATTAACTTTTTTCTATGTATTAATACTGTCAAAGTGCTGACTGTATACTCCATCAATGTGTCTGCAGAGAAGACATAGACTTTATGTCAAGCAGGGGCGTTTCTAGGATTCAAAGAAAGGGGGGGCTTAGCCCCAAGGGGAGTGGCATGTTTGTGGCAATTGTTTTTGGATATCCATTGTTTCAGACAGTTCATAGATTGGTTCAATCAGAAAGAGTGTGATTTTGCGATGTAGTTTTGCTTGCATTCAGTATATGATGACACAAGAGACAGAATTTCAGGGTCATTGTGAAATTTGACAACACAGATATGAACTTTTCTCAAATAAAGAGAAATAATTTTCCTGCTTGAGCCCCCCTAAAATAGGCCTAACGACGCCCCTGTTGTCAAAGCTCCAGTTAAAAAAAAAAAGATACAATTTCAGATCTTGTTCGACTGAATCTGAATACATCTCAATTATATTCTTTTAATGTGTGAATTTAGTTATCCAGTGCTATGCATTTGAGTTTGAAATTTATTTCTAAATTTTGCAAAATATCGAAAGAAAAACAAACGGGTATTAATGCCAACATTAGATCAGTAAAGTTTCAGTGGATTTAGAGAGAGAGAGAAAACAAAACAATCTCACCTCAAGGTCCATTTGTTAGATGTTCTAGAGCTTCTTCTGCAGATGGAGTTTGCTTTGTTGACATGGTGCTGAACATGTTCATATTCCCATTTTTCTCCTCAGTACATGTCCATTCTTGGCTTACAAAACAATTCCTTTCGTAGTCATGTCCCACTATCTTATAGGTCAAGACTGAATTTTGAAGCTTCACCAAGTAATGCTTATGTAAATAATAATGGTGACTGTCAGTTTGTTCGGCGTTCATTAAACATTTTTGAAAGGTTTTGTAAAGTAATGTGCTTTTTCACTCCCTGTTTAAAATCCCTCTTTCACACACTCTCTCCATCCACCTCTACATTCAGTGACGCATGCTTTAACACAATTGATCCAAAAGATGGCAGAGTGGTTGTGCTTCTTTTCTCCCTCA